GATTGTACAGTGCAATTGCTCTAGTTATGCAATGTGGAGCCACTGGGAGAAACTGGGTGAAGGCTACACAGGGCCTCTGAATATTTTTTCTTTTACTTTTTTTCAGTTTTAAAATATTATTTTAGTTTATTAGCAAATGTGTGTAATGTTTACATTCTTTTGTGTGGATTTGGTATAAGTACATAACACACTTTAATTCCTTTTTTCATCCTCTTTCCCTTCCCTCCCTCCCCTTTCTACACATTCCTTGACCCCCTTCCATTTTTGTACATGTTTGCAGTACATAATATTTACATTCCTTCTAAATAATATTTTTGCTATGAATCTATAATTGTTTCAAACTCAATTTTTTTAAAGATGAAAAATAAGTCAAGTTTTGTCTAGCTTACTCTCTCCTAGGGTCCCTCATGAGGGAGTTGCCAAGTGTGGTCGTGACAACCATCTGAATAATGGACGCTTTGGCCTCAGACAGGTAGGAACTCATCCAGCTCTTTGTCAATGTCATTCATCAACAGAAGCGGAGGGTGGAGTGGCCAAGTGCACACAAGTGACCTTTGTAACCTAAGAACAAGGGTCAAACAGAGAACACAGACCTGCACAGGGTTCACTGAGGACTCCACTCAGCCCAGCCCCACCTTTCTTTGCTCTCAGGCTTTGGGATATAACTGGAGCCCCATTTGGCTCAGTGCCTCCACAGACAGGAAGAGGGTTCAGGTAAGGGTGGGGGCTAGTTAAAACCATGAGACAGGATAAAGCCAAGCATAAAGGAAGGAGAATGAATGAAGAGGAGCTGGGGCCTGGGGACCCACTACTTTCCTCTGCATGTTCCATGACTTATGAACAGCAGAACAAAAGGAGAGGAGCAGCCTCATCCTAACACCCCATTCTGCGTATCCCCGAATAGAAAAAACGTAGTCACTGTCACAAGCAAAGGAGAATAACCAGGAAGAGATGAAATGAAATATCTACAGTGTGAAATGTAAGTCATTCTTCCATTTGTTCTGTGTCAGTACCACTAGGAGAGAAATTAAAAGCTCAGAAAGGCTTTGAGCATCATCCAGAAGGGGAAAGCCCGAGCAATCTGTGATAATGCCTAATGCCCCCCATATTCTCTTCATTCTCCCTACCCCCTCCCTACAAGCAGGGCAAGGCAGGACTCTCAGGAGGCAGATGCCTGAGAAGGAAAGCATGGGGAGACAAACGCTAGAGATATACCACTCCTGGGGAGAAGTGGGGATATCTTAACTCATGGAGCCAGATAAGGAATTCTTTGGCACAGGGGATTCTATTGAGAGTTTTCCTGAGCATGAATCAGGTTGTGGGGATATAGTGCTTTGTTCTGAAAATCAAGACATTAAGCTCAAGATGTCTTCCCATGGCCTCAGAGGTTACAGACACGGGCCAGGACAAAGCACTTCCTCCATTTTTGGTCCTCCCAGGTCAGAGGTCATCAGGGCTACTCATTTCAAGCTGTGTGGTTTGCTTTTCCTTTCTTCCCACTGCTCTTGCCCCACCCTGCATCTCCACTGGGATGCCTCCCTACAGTTGAATATACTTGTATTATTTCACTACCCTGGAGCCTTACATGTGTAATTTCCTGAAATTTGGCAGTAGTCAGTGACCAACCACTGCTGCTGTAAGATAACCTCAGTTTGGCCCAAAAGAAAGTTTCATTTTAGAGAAAAACAGACCTCACTGAGGCTGCCAGGTTAAATTAGCCACAAAGGCTCCCTCCCACCAGTGCCCCCCATAAGCACTGAGTGAACCTGTTTTTGATTTAGAGTTCTGGGCGCTGAGCTACTCCCTCTGACAATGATTGTCTGAGGGGGTCCTGTGCTTCCTAAGATTTCTGCAAGCCAGACACCACAGAAATTGTCTCTAAATTAAATACAGTGGTATTTACCCCTGTTGGAGGAGGCCCAAAACTTTACCCTGAGAAGCTGGGGGTGTAGCTCAGTAGTAGAGAGCATGTCTCGCCTATGCAAGACCCTGGGTTCAATCCCCACAGTCATTAAAAAAAATTCATCCTGAAAGTGGCCAGGCTCTTTAGATGAGAGTTCTGAAGAATGAAAGGTCATAAACCTGTTAACAATTGGAAGCATCCAAACTGCAGCTACTGGAACTTCCCTCAGTTATAGCTCGGTTATGTGTCATCAGGGCCTGGAGACAGTCCCGACTACTGGAAACAAGCACATCCATGGTATCCCCACCTGCTAAACCATAATTGAATAGCATTGTGCTTACGTGAGGGCCTGCTTGCACAGTAGATAGAGCCTCCCATGCCTGATTTCTTTATATGTCACCCTTTCCTGGCTGCATGTTCACACATAGGGACCAGCCTTACAAAGCTTTGTGCCCCTTGCCATTAATAAGGACAATAATATCCACCTGATAGAGCTGCAAAGAGAACAACATAAGAGCACAATATTTCTATTACTTTGGTGCATTCATATAGCTCAATTACTACTACTACTATTATTATTATTGGCATTGTCAGTATTATTAGCCATAGTTTTTCTCAACTAATAACTATGCATTATAGAATTAGTGGAACAATAGTTCCTAAAGGATGTTTGAATGTGCAGTCCTATTTGTTGAAGCAAGAAGTGGTCTCAGATTGGTACCAATTGTGGGCAGCTCAAGATCATTTGCCAAGCCCCTTTCCTATACTGCATCTCACATAATCCTTACTAAGATGCTCAAGGTAGGAATTGTTCATATTACTGAGTTTTTCAGGTCAGGACCTTAGGCTTAGGAAAGGAGAGTGATATCTCCTTGTGTCACCCCGTGAATAAGTATTTGGGATGGGACATGAATCTAAGTCCTCTGGCTTTGTCCCTTCCCCTAAACCATATGGAATATGGGTCTTTGCAGAAATGTCCACAAAGCCAATTGGTTAGACTGTCCTAGCAACAAGGAACCTAGAAAAAATGACAAATCCCCAGGTTGGGTGACCCCTGTTCCCAACCATGTCACAAGATACATGCAGCCTATTCCCTGCTGGGAAGGAGCAGAACAGCCTCCTGCTAGGAGGAGGAAAACTCCCAGATAGCTATTACTGCCCCAGAAGGGAAAGTCTTCACTGAATTTTATTAACAGGAATGCAGATTCTAGACTTGCCTGAAGATAGCCAAACATGCCTGGTTTTAGGCCCATAAGTGAAGCAAGCTGAGGTCTTCAAAACTATTCTTAGAATTGTTGTGGATCAATGTAGGTGATGATTAAGAGAATCTGGCTTTCCAGAGTCCAGAAAAACTCTGAACTGATGTGAGCACTGAACTCCAGTCAGGAGGCCAACTGGACTGGGCCCAGGCCTCAGGCACAAATGTAGAAGTTATCTTATTTTTATAGCTCTTCAAAGAAACTGCTGCCATAGACTCATTTATTTTAGGGTCTCAATGTGGGTCTACATGGCTCATTCTTAGTCCCTTTGTACCTTCAGTGTCAGGAATCTGTTCTGGGACAACTGCTCCTCCTGCCATTCTTGGGGAAATGGGAGGGAGATCCTGCCTCCCACCCCCACGCCCCACCCTGCCATAGTCTCATTCCTTTCAGACCACCCAACCTCTGCCCCAGTCCTTTCCTTCCATTTCCTAATTTTAAAATGTCAAAATTGCCACAATTCTTAGCTGAAACATCTCCAAACTGGTGATGTTCCACCCTTCGAACTGGTGGAAACAAAATGACACACATTGCTCCTATCTAGGTCTGGCTTAAGGGGAGGCAGTCTGAGTATTATTTTAAATTATCTCGGAGTTTCTGTCTTATTTATATTCAACTGTGAAATCAATTCAGCCTTTATTTATCATGGTGTAGGGAAAGAGCAGAGGCAGGAATAAATAGGTAACCCCAGTAACAGTAGGATAACAGTAGGAGTTGAAGTACTATGGTGGGATCCACTTGGAACTCAGATCTCTTTCCGTGAGACATGTAACTAGCCCATGGAGACCTTCCCTCTCCCCGTGTTCTCTAGGTTCCCATGCTTGCTCCATTGGAGGCTTTACCCAGTTTCTCTGATTGTAATAACTGTGAAATTGAGCCCTGCACCATAACCCATGGCCCGACCCCAAGGCACTCGGGTATGAGTGGGTGCCTGTAGACTCCCATTTCCCCCCTGGGTAGCTTTGTTCAGCAACCCTTAAAGTAGCCTGAGTGAGGATTCAACCATTCCAGCTCCTCCAGCTGTCAATACCCCATTTTCTCCTTACTGGCTCCCCTTAACTTGCCAAGTCAGAGGCACCCGGTTCAACATTTTTAAGCGAACCAAGAGGTCTGCTGCTTTCCTGGAGCGATCAGCAGACCAGAGAGTGGGTCATCGAAGGCCAGTTGGTTGCCTGTGTCAGGAACCCCTGAGGAGGCAGTCTGGGGAGTTCTCTATTTTGCCAGGGCTGGAAGATCAAAGCCTGAGGAAGGGGCTGGAGATTTAGCTCAGTGGTGCCGCTGTCTGCCTCACAAGCACAAGGTCTTGAGTTCGATCCCCGGTACCACAAAAAAAAAAGGTCTCTCTCAAAGCCTGAGGAAGGACAGGCATCGCTTCTACCACCACCCCAGAAGCACGAGGTGCGCTCTGACCTGGGCCATCTTAGTGCCCACAGCCAGTCCCCACCAGTCGCCAACCTAGGCACCTCCAAGCCAGTGCCACAAACGGAGAAATTGTCTGCCTCAGACAGACCAAACGTTCCTCCAGATGTTCTTTTCCAATCAAAGAACAGGACAATTCCCTCATCTGCTACCTTACCTATGCTCTGTACAGAGCTGCCTCACTAAGAGGTACCTTCGTCGTCCTGTTCCTTACCCCGACGAGAGCGTGTGAGCACACACGCACGTGCACACGCCCACCACGCGCTCGCTGTGCCAGGCCGGGGGACCGACCCGGAGCTCGGCACCCAGGGCGAAGGAGGAAGCCGGCGCACCAAGCGCCTCCTGGGCTTCCGCGGCACGGACGCCTGCGGCCTCCTGAAGGAGCGCTCTGCCTCGATGGTCCTGTGCACTTTGCTTACCTTAATGTTGCCAAAGACCGCGCGGGAACAGCGGCCGGCTCGGCCCGAAGAGGCGCTGCTGCTCTGGCGCGCGCCGAACTTGGGCAGGAGCCCCATGGTGGCGGGCGGCGGGCGGCGCTGCGCCGACGCCCCCTCTGTCTCAGCCGAGGTGGTGGTTTCAGGCCCAGGGCTCCTGGGGCTGGTGCTGCCGGCCGGGCGGTGGCTCCGAGGAGGCGTGCGGTGCGGAGACTGAGCGAGACAGTGCGATCCCAGAAGTTTTTATAAGTGGCCGCCGCCGTCGCCGATGATGAAACGCTTTCTCCCTCCTCCCTCTCTTCCTCGGGTGTCAAAGGCGCTGCGAGCCCCCGCCCCCTCCGCTTCCTCAGACAGGTGTCCTGGGCCCCAGGCTTCCGCGCTACCCGAGCCCAGCAGACACTGGGTGCCCCAGGGCTCGACCTCGGCTCGGACCGGCCAGGCTTGACCGGCCCAGGAAGAGGTCCCGCCTGCTGGGAGAGGGGAGGAGGGAGGCGCCCCTGGAGGGGAGCTAGTGGCTGGAGGGGCAGTGGGCTGCAGACAAAGGTGGAAGCGGCGGAACCCGCGGGTGGTGACCAGAGGGGACCTGCGAAGGGGCAGGCAGGGCAGGGCTGGGGTACGAGGGCTGGGATAGGAAGGGACTGGAGGGGGTCTGAAGGACACTAAGGACAGCGGGAGCCAGCGAGTGGAAGGACTCCAAGGTTCCTGGAGCGGAGGTGAGCCCCGGCACCCCGCCCGACGCACTTGGGGAGATTTACGGAGCTGGTCTCTGCTTGTTTGCACTCGCCGCGGCAAACCTGGGCTCTCAGTTCCGGTGATGGCTCGGAGACTCGCTGAGGCTCTGTTTGTGCTGAAGACTGATTTATATTTAAACTGCTCTTTGCGCTAGAGAAGGGGCGGGTAACAAGGTGGAGAGGTGGGGGCTGCCTCGGGCTGGGCCCGAACTCCGTGGACCTGAGCCAAGGTAAACTGCATGCGCTGTCAAGTGTCAGTGAGGCTGGGACTGGCCTGGAGTGCTGCGGGGGGCAGTGGGGTGGGGCACTGGACAAGCGGGATGCACCCCACTGACCTCTTTCTCAAGCTGGGAAGAAGAGTGGGTTTGTTTTCCCCCAAGATTTTTTTACCACCAGGACTGCGAGATCCAGAAAGAGAAAGAAGGTGCAGCTTTCCCAGAGAAGGCCAGAAAGGTTCTGCCAAAAGCAGCTGCTGTGAGGAATCCAGTGCAGGAGCCATCCTCCAGCTTCCTAATTTCTGTTGCCCCGTGCACAGTCGACCCCTCTAAGGCCACCCCAGTGGAGGAAAAGATGCCCCTTAATACCACAGGAAGCTTCAACTAAGACAAAGGCCACCAGGTGGATGAACCACGTAGACTTCTTATTTCTCCCCTGGGCCTGGTGCCTTTCTTGGCCTGACCTGACTGGCCTATGTCCAGGGGCTTCTTCTGTCCACCTACAGCCCAAGGACCTAGATCTAGCAGCATTCAGAGGGTGTGGGACAGTGAGCTGCCATTGATCATTCATCTGCAGAGAAAGGTGCATACAGAAGGGCTTTGTAGAACCCCGCAGCAGCCGTAGACTCACTTCAGCTCAACTTCAGCTCACTGTTCCGTCCACTTGGAGTAACCACAGCAGAGTGCTTGCTGCATCTGGTCACTGACTGCAGCACATGTGGTGGACTGCACCAGCCACTCTACAGCACACTCATGAGCATCATTCCATGTAACTCCAAAAGTAACACTAAGTGATTGCTATTATTACAGTCTGGGCTTTATAGACAAGGATGCTAGAGAGGCCAATTAAAAATTGGCTGAAAGCCATATAGCAATTACATGGTGGTGCTGAGCCCTGAATTCAGCTCTGCCTGACTCCAAAGCCCAGACCTGAAGCATATGAAAAGTCATCTAGTCTAGCAGCCTCATTTCACATGAGGAACCAAGCAGGCACCAAAGAATGCCTGGGCCAAGGTCACAGGCACATTAAGACCACCATGGCTGGAGGTTCTTCCCCAACCTCTGGTCTTAGAGTGGGCTTCTAGAAGAATCCCAGAGATGCCCAAACTCTCCAGTTGTCCTGCTCCGTTAACCTTGCCCTCTGCCTGCCATCAAGGCCAGCATCATCTCCAAAGGAAGGCCTAATCAGAAATGCTACCAGGTAGAGTTCAGCTAAACTTACTGGAGATCCAACCAAAGTGATTTATAATAAGAGGTCTGCTAGTACATAGTGCATGGGTTGTGACTGAGGCCCCTTCAGGATTTCTTAGTGTGTGGCTCTCTGTCACAAAATGTCCACCTCCACCCTCCTCTCCTAATCTTAGGAAAGAAGTGGAAGACTAAAAACAGGAAAGGGCTGGTCTAGCATAAAGAAAATCATCCCTACATATACAGCTGCTTTTCCTTAAGTTTTATTGGCCACCACTGAGTCACATAGTTACCCTGTACAAACCTCACAAAGAAATATAGGGGTGCACAAGCCAGATTCTGAGAGTCATCACCTTCTCTGATACATCACATCTCCTTCTCTGATACATGAATGTCCTCTCCTCAGTATATTCAGATTCAATGTGCTTTAACAAAATTGAGTTTCTATTAGGGAAAGGGGGAGAAAGGATATTGTATCTTCAACTTTCAGTGTCTACACATAAAGAAATCCATTTCCTTAAAAAAGTACCCCTAGAGTCTGTCTCCCAGAATTTCCATCCTTCTATTTTAGCAAATATTTCCCAGCATTGGAAAAAGAAAAAACATAAGAGCAGCCCCTGACTTCAAAACTTCTCTAGTCTCAGGGAGGGGAGATGAGAAAATCTAGGAGTGGTGTAGAGAGCTACTGTGCACAGCCCCTACAGGAGCACAGAAGAGGGACCCCGACTCACCTGGAACAGGAGGAAGGCTTCTTGGAGGAGGTGACTGTCCAGTGTAACTTGAGAAAGATGCTGGAACATAGAGAAGCAGGCTAAGAATGAAGGCCTCAGCCTGGGCACAGATGGGGAGCCATTCTGAACACCAGCTGATCTAGGCTGATTTGCATTTCTCCTGGCCTCTCTGATAGCCAGGAGTGGGGAAGTCTGTGGAAGGAACACAGAGGTAGTGTTTCTCAGAGACAGGACAGGAGGCTACCCAGGTTGCAGAGAGGGAAGATAAGGCCTGAGCAGTAGCTGCTGGGGGGCAAAGTCTGGTACTGAGGACCATAGCAAAACTGTTTCCAGTTGGTGATGTGGGAACAGGGCAGATTCTATAAACTGAGGAGTAACTAGGAGGAAGAAAGTACAAACACACAGTGTATTCCTGCCTTTATTATCACAGGTCACACAGATAACACATATGGTGGCTAAGGGCACAGACCTGGTAGTCTGACAAAGATGCTGCATTCCCTTCACACCAACTGTGTTCCTTTAGATAGCTGGCTTCACCTTCAGGACCCTCAGTGCCTTCTTTGAGGTGCAGGTACTTGGAGTTGTTATAAAGTATGTACAAGATGATTTTCACACAAGGTGCTGGGACCTGGAGAGGGCCAGGGCCAGGCAGCTGCTATTGCTGCAGTGGTTGGAGGCCTTGCTGTTAGTAAACTGTGTTTGGTGCCTTTTCCTCTAGCTCAGCTGTGAGCTCCTAGAGGATGAAGCTTCTGTGTCAATACTCTTTGTTTCCCCAGTTTGGCCTTGTTGCTTTAAAACATTTGTTATATGGAATGAAGGAGAAATGAATTCCAAAATGACTCCTATGCCTGGGGAAGACCTCATTGGTCCTGATGACTCTAAGCCATTGCTCTCAACCAAAACCCAGGCCCAGAGGCCTCTGGTTGTCCTGGAGTCTCAGTCTTGTCTGCTTTCACTGATGTCTGGTCACAGACTTGATGGGTCTGTCCATCTACAAGCTACACTGCCTACTCCCACAGCAGCTGATGAAGGACCCTTGGGCAGTTTGGACACCAAAATGTGTTTGCATTAACTCTGGTCACCTGACTTCTTGAGAGCCAGCTGCCAGCAGGTATGGAGGTCAGGGAGTTCCCTGATAAGTGCCTACCCCTAGTTGGAGGGCCAAGAGCTCCATCTCTTTGTCACTGTCATCAACAGGAGAGCTTACTTCCCTTCTTGGCTCCCCTGGACACTTTTATATTTTTGTTTGACAAATACATGGTGCTAACTGTCTTTGCTGGGTACTGGTATATTAATCCATTCAATCTGCAAAGCAACCCAACAAGAGAGCTTACTTTAATTAGTACTATTTTACATTTGGAGAAACTGAGGCACAGAGAGATCTAATAACTCAGTCAGCCACATAGCTAGTAAGTGTCAGAGTCCAGGATTCAAACTCACACAGCCTAGGTAGAGAATCTAAACTCTGAAGACCCTCACTGAAAAGGAACCAAGCCATAGCATGTGGGTAAACCAAGTCCAGTGCCCACCTTCAGGACGACTTTCAGGAGTGAGAAGCCCACCGTGGTGTTTCTGCTACTCTGGTGCTCTCACGTCTTCTCTCCATCCTCCCGGGGATGCAGCCTCTGCTGTTGGTAACACACCTGGCTTAATGAAGTCTCCCAGGGGGCACTGGAGGCCAGGGTCACTGCAGGTCTTCCCAGGTCTCCCTCAAGAACTGCCATCCTGCTCTTTCCTCTGTGCTTTCCATCCCCCAGTGTGGGTTTCCCAGCAGTGCCTCCTGCAGGCCTTCTTTCCCTCACCCCACCCTTCCTTCTGCAGGCTCAGTCTTTGCCCCCTAGCCCCTCCCAGCTGAGAAAATGTAGTGTGGCAGGGGAGGGGCACCACAGTATCAGAGTGCCCTCCTACCTGGGACCCCAGCTGCTCTGCCCTGGGATATGCAAGGGCATGGCCCATGCAGTGGGGTTTCCGTGGTCTTCTGTGATGACTTCCTCAAGGCCTGGTTGTACTGGTCCAGCTTCTGGTGTTACTCAGTGGAGATCACTCACAGATTTGGCAGGAAAAGGAGAAACCCCCACCAGCCTCGCCCTGTGCCCCTCCCATGTCCACTTCCTCTGCAGCCCTCCTCTCTCAGGGTGGGAGGCCCAGCCCAGGCCCATCTGTGCGGCACCGCCTGGGATTCAGGTCATCCTCTCCCCCGCTGCTATCTTAGTGGGTGCCAGCTCCTCACCACTCCTGTGTGAAAGTCAGCCACCCCTGGGGAGCAGAGTTTTCTGTCTCTGTCTGGATCCTGATGGGATCACTCAACAGACATTCACTGAGCATCTCTAATGCCCTGGGGGCTCTGGCCATCTTCAGATGGCTGAGCCAACAGAAAACCACAATCTCTCTGCCACGTTGCTTGTTTTAAAACTGCTTGATAATCTCTGTATGATTCTTTTTCAAAAATAATTTACTTTGTTCTAGTTCTAATGGGAAAGTTATACAAATGTGTGTTGAATTCACCTATCATTCTATATCATGATTTAAATTTTGCTGAATTATCTACTTTTTCTAATTC